GAGAGGATTCACCAGAGGCAGAGTGGGGAGCAGAACAGGCAGATCTACTGAAATACACTGCTGAGGGGAGCAGCGGGTGAGAGGTCTGCTGTACTATGTGGATCAGCTCCCTGGCTGGGATTCAAATTCATGCTGCAGTGGCTGCTCATAGCGTGACAGCGCTGAGACTCTAACCCTTGCACCATCAGGGAGGCTTGTCATTTTCATCAATGTCAACCCCAAAAGAAAAAGGATGGCTTTAGGAAAAGGAATTTTTTCCTTCAAATTTTAAGGATAAGTTAATTATCCATGCCGCTCCCAAATAAAGCCAAAAAGGGATCTGTGGCCTAGCTTTTTAGCAACCATCACAAGCTGGAAACAATCCTAGAGGAGTGAGAACAGGCACAAAGAGCACAAGGCAGGAGATGCCAAGTCCTGGGAGCTTCATGGAGGTGAGATACATGCAGAACTGCCTCCTGCACCCCCACTTACCAGCTTGCTTTTGACCAACTGTTCTATTGCACTGACAAGGTCTGCAGCAGTAGGTACCTCGGAGGGAGCCTGCCGGGCTGCTAGCAAAGAGGAGGACTGCAAGACATTGAGCAGCAAAGGAAAAGCAGGTTAGCGAGGAATGAGGAATAGCAGTTAGGACGTAAAATAGCAAGTCCAAAGCTTGAGGTCGGCAAGGGAAGCAAAGCTCTATGCGATGACAGAGGGAGATGGTGTGTAGGTGTGGCAGAGGCCTGTCTGGCCCTTTAGGGGGACCTAGGCTGCTTCTGAAATTGCTGAGGGGAAGGACACTGAGTTCTCAGGAGGTCACTAGGTACGGGCTACCCCCACTGACAACAATGGAGGGGGAGAATGGTGGACAGGACTTTGGTCTCTGTCCAGGCCCAGGGCTGCCCAATGCCATTCCAATTGAAAGAAGTCAATAAATTTGGTCTCAATGTGTCCTGATAAGAGATGCTGTCCTTCCTTTATCAGACGTAGATTTTAACTGTAGCTATTCACTATGAGTCAAGCAAAAATGCTAGGGGCAGGACACTTAGAGACCAGGACACACACACACACACAAAACACACACACACAAAACACACACACACACACTCCTGTTCATAGTGAAAGGAGGCTCAACCCCCAGGGCCTGCACCTCTTCCCCAGGGTCCATGGGGAAGTTTGGTCAATGGTTGGGGATTCCTGGTTACTAAGGGACAGTGTTATTTTCTTTCTTGAGAAGACACTGGGGGAGGAAGGGTTAACCCCGTGTGCATAAACAAGCTCATATTAGGGCATATGAAGGCCCGGAGCTTGTGGGAGCAGAAAGGCGAGTGTCCCAGCTGTGCCCTGGCTTCTGGTCTGCCTCTTAAGTTGGGGGGAAGCTTCTTGTTGTCTAAGTGATTTTAGCTCTTTACTTCTGATATGGGGTAAAAAATCAAATAAATGTCATTAAGAGGGATATAGCAACACCCATCTTCTTCCCTGGGATGTAGGAAAAGAGCTTAATTTAAGTTTGTTTGCAGATTCAAGTAATCAAATTTTTGATCTGGTGATTCTACCCCTGGGAATGTATCCCAAGAATAGAAGTCTACAGAACAAATGTTGTATATACAAAGTGATCAGGGGCAACATTACCCAGAGTAGCAAAACTGGAAACAACTTAGGTTATCCCAAAACACGTAGGTCAAGCAATGATGGAACATGAAATAAATGCAATACCTCCCAGCCATTAAATAATAAAATTAAGAAGACTTTCTGAAATATTAAATGAAACATTGAACACATAAATACCTATCATGATTGTAAAAATAAAACATCCATGCATACAAACTAATTTTAGAAAAAAAACATGGAGAATTAATCACAGAACAGTACAATGGCTGGACTTCAGAAAATCTTTTTACAGTTGTAAAAATTATTTTAATAAATCTAACTCCATTTGCTAGAAGTTCTGAGGTTCACTCCACTCCCAAATATTCCAGGAAAACAAACATAATATCAAATAGCTGGACTGAGGGGGAGTTCTGTGTCTAAAAAGAGACTGTTGCCATCCGTCCTATTTCTGGTTAAGCAGAGGGCCACAGAAACCTCTGGAAGTAAGTCCACATTCTTAGTTAAAAACTACCCAGAAACAACATAACATCTTTTCCCCTAAAGCAAGCTATGTGTGAGGGAATTAGTGGGGGCGGGTTCATGACCTTAATCTCACGCAAGCAGGCACCCTCTATGCGGAGGCAGATGGTGGGACGCAGATGGGGGGACGCAGACGGCCCATCCTCCCCACACACTATCACTGTTAGAGAAATTTTACAAGGACAGGCCTCTGAGAACACAGAAGGTTGGGCCTCACTCCCCTCTCAAGGTAAAGCATAGGCATTTCTGCCCCTGGGAATTCAGGATGAGCAACAGGCCAAGCTTCTCGTTACTTTTGTAATAGTCAGAGTCTAGGCCACCAGCATCACCTTAGGGGGGTGCCTGTCTCATTGGTGATCACAGAGGTGGGCTGTGACCACATCTTAGGCATCATTCTATCCCTAGAAGCTGGGCTTTTATCCTGGCACACAGAAAAGACTTCAATGAATATGTTTAGGTCAGTGATCCAAATACAAAGTGGAGAAGATTAAAATAAGAACTGAGACTTCACTAGAGACACGGAAGCCTCTGCAAACAGGGCTTTCTGATTGCATCCTAGGTGGTAGAAAGGTTTGCCCCTTGCCCCCTCCACCCCCACCTCTGACAAAGCTGCCCCATCACAAGGCAAACACTAGAGGAGAAGCCAGAGGCATAGTTAAATCACAAGCACCACTGCCAAACACCAGTGTGAAAATCAAATGCAAACACAATCCAAAACTGAAACCATCACTTCAAACTCCAGAGTCCAGTAGGCCAGCAAAACTAAAAGAAGGCAAGAAGAACACAACTTACTGACAGCTTGATGGATTAGGAAAGATGGAACACGTGATCAAAACAGCCGCACGTCAGGGCCTGGAAATACACCCACCTTGACCCCTCTCCTCCAGAACCATCTGAGGGTCACCCTGAAACTAGAGACCTGATGGCTCCCAAACCTTCAGACACCACTGAGCCTCTGTCTGCCAGTAAGTGAGGGATTGCTGCAAAACAAAATATTTGGGCAACCTGGAATATTAGGTTTGCCCCCACTGGACAGCAACCTCCATTGCACAGCACCTCCATCCTTCTTGCTGCGTTAGTAGATTTTTTTTTAAAGATTTATTTATTTATTCATACAGAGCTGGGGTACAGGCCAGAGATGCGGAGGGTGAGAGGATACACCAGGGACAGAGCAGGGAGCAGAACAGGCCGATCTAGGAAGCACACTGCTGAGGGGAGCAGCGGGCGGGTCAGGAGAGGTCTGCTGCGCCCTGTGGTCACCTCCGGGGCAGGCGGGGATCGAACTCATCAGAAGCGGCTTAAGCTTCTCAGTGCTGCGCTTTAACCCGCTGCACCACCAGGGAGGGCCACATGTTAGTAGAATTTTAACAGCAGCACTGGGCTTGAATGGAAGTTACCGTGATTTAGGTTTTGGTGTTCAGAACAGGGAAAACAAACCCCCAAAAAGACAAGAACAACAGAAGGATCATGACTTGGAACCACCTTAGATTCCTTTTGAAACAGTTTCTTCTGGGATCTGCTGCTTCCAAAGACAGAGCCTTCATCCATGTGATGTGACACCACATCACACTGAGAATTTTCATACCCCACTACATTGCCTAGAGTGAAGTCAGAACTCCAGGATCGGTGGAGGGAGCCCTTGCCAGATACAGATGGGATAAACATCACCATGGATTCATGTGGTGTAAGACAAAACAAAGGAGAGAGACCATCACTCTCCCCACCGCACACAAACAATGAAATCACATGCATGACACAACAGTCTTTCAAGTGAGAAAATAAAGAGGTTCTACCATCTCGTCCTGCGTGGGGTCATTGTCAAAGATCTTCATAGGTGGAGGGAGGGGTGTATGCGACTCTTCATCTGGTTCATCTTCACCCCAACCTTTCTTGCTCTTCTAGAACAAAAGAGCAGCATTAGTCACTGTTTCATGTAAAGATACCATCAGTTCAACTCTTAGAATTCATGAAAAGCAACGTAGGAGATAGTATCTGCCTCCACACATCCCTATTTTTTCAGCCTTAGTGTCCTCTGTGGGGTGGAGGAGGACACTTGCTTATCTGAGAGGACCGTCAAGACTGAATGGAGGAAAACATACATAGACACCCAAGAAGGCAGAGGGAGAGAGACAGACAGACAGACTCCCTCACCAGTGAATCAGAAAAAGGTAAAGCTGAGTCATCAGAGAGCGCCTCTAACTTTTAAGTTTTGAAAAAATATTAAGCCACACTCTGAATATCACCAGGCTCTACTGTCATGCTTAGAGGGAGAAATGACAGAAAGTCTAAAGTTACAGAGTCTGGTTATACATCCAGAGAATTTCTTAGCCACAGTAGTGACAAGAGTAGGTCAGGCTGCCAGATAAAACAGCTATCTCCTTCCCCCAAACAAAACAGTCAGACGATATTTTGATTACAGAATCTCAGCTCTGGAAGGGACTTCAGAGGGTCCAGTCTGGCTTCAGCTAACAAAGGGCTCTCGCTGACTTTCATGGAGTGGCAAGGCTCACTTCATCGCTGATTGAGCGCCACCAAAGTTCCTCTTTGAGCTGAAACCTTGCCAACAATACACCTTGCCTCGCTCATCACCCCTCCCTGGAGCAAGCTGCAGGCTGCTTGCTTGCAGATGTGGTTCTGTTCACAAGACTTGGCAACAGCTGTGTGGCCCAGCACAGCCTTCGGTTTTCCAAGTGAAACTCTCCATGCTCTTGTTCCCACTCTAAGCAGGCCGAGCAGGTTTTGATGTCACCCACGGTCAGCTGGGGGCTAGGTGCCCGCTGGCTCCTCTAGGGCCAGGGTCCTATCTGCACATCTGGCACAATGGCCTATGTTTGAAATTCTAAGCAGTAGTCAGTTTCTGAACTGGTTACAAATCAAGCTGGCAAGTCTGGAGAAAAGAAGGACTCAGATCACTGGGGCCCAAGAGGAAAACCCTTTGGGAACAAGAGATGCCTGAAGGTGATCACACCGAGGGAGGATGTGCTTGGCAGTCCCTGCCTGCTGAGGCGCTGGGGCCTGGGGTAATTACCTCATCAGCACTGTCTCCCTGAGGAGTTGTCTCATCTCCCGGTTTGGGGGATCCCAGGTCGAAGCTCTTCCGGCCATCACGTACTTTCTTCTGTTTTTTGATGTTTCCATCTGCTTTCCCACTGTTGAGTCGGCGCACAGGACTTGTCAGCCACTTCTTAAGGGTGTTGGTGGAACGCTTGGGCCCGGGGGAGCTGTGGATGGAGTTCAGGGAGGGCTGAGACTGCAGGTTGGCCACTGACTCAGACTTGCCTCCATTTTCGTTTGAGGAATGAGAGTATGCATCTGGGGAAAGAGGACAGACAGACATGGCGGGTCAGTGGCAGTTAAGGCAGGCGGCCAGCCCAGGAGGAGAACAGCTCCAGCCTCAGGAAGCTGGGACACGAGGAAGAAGGTCAAAGTCAGCTGCAGACCACAGTCAAGGGAACCCTTTCTAGAACACAGGTAACAGCACCCGATTCCTAACATGTAAGGCACCGCTCAGGGGGATATGGATGTGGCAGTAGGCAAGATAAAGACTCCTGTCTTCAGTGGAAAAAAAATTTAGAGGCTAAGCAAGAATTGCCAACCAATAATAATGTCATGGGGTACCCATTAAATCGTGTGTTGTTAAGACATATACACGGATATTATTTTTATAGACCTCTTACCTAGCTATGCACATATACACATACAGACACGGAGGCAGAGAGAGTGAAAGAATAAGACAGAGTAGTTCAAGATCTCACAGCAGTGTATGATTAATTGCCAAAGGGCTGGTAAAGACTCTAGATGATAAGCAAAGGGAGTTCAGAGGACGGTCAGATCAGTCCTGGTAAGAGGGACTGAAAAGGTTTCACAGAGGAGATAATGTCTGCATAGAAGAGCAGGAGAAGGAATTCCAAAAGGGGAGATGGCAAGAACAAAAGCACAAGGCAGGGAAATTGAAAACAAAGTTAACACAGCCATAGTACAGCCTTTGAATGAAATAAAGAGTAGTGGAGGAGAAACGGGGTAGAAAGATTAGTGAGGACATTTAATAATAACTTAGAGGAATATGAACTTTATTGGGAAATGTCATGATAAAAAGAGTTGTTTGTTTGCTTTGAATGAATCCGAACAAGGCACAGCCCTGGGGAGGAGGGGTTAGAACAGCAAAGGCCGCCCTTCTGCACTAGGAGTTCAAAGGCTTGTTAGTGCAGCATTTCAGAACAGGCAGCATGACCGTTAGAATCTGGACTAGCAATCCAAGATGAGCTGTCTCCACGTGCTGCTGCTTCTCCTTGTCCAAAAGGTCTTGGGAGAATAACCAAACAACTACACTTTAGCCCCTGGGCCTCCTCACCCCAGTGCCAATTTGCATACTGATATTTAAAGGAAACACATCTCTACGTATTTAAACAAATAATTGAAGGAATGTTTTACACCTTTTTGTCTTAACAACCGAATCGCCTTTTCCTATAATGACTTCACCCAAGACCTAGACCAGGGGTCTAATCTGACATTGGAGGCCTCTGGCTCAGATACAGCCAAAAGGGAAGAAAGAGAACCCGAAAACGGTAAATGATGCTCTCTTGCCAACAGAGAGCTGCCTTCAGTTTTGACCACTGGCTTATCTTGAGGACAGTAAGGTCAGGCTCTTGGCCCCATGGGGAGTTTCTCAGCTTTTGCTAGTTTGTGCATGTTTGGGAAAACAACAGCAGAATATCTGCAATCCAGATGCACAAAAATGAGCTCCTTAAGTCCTTTGTTATGATGAATAATTTACAGGGCTGCTCTGTTCAGGGGATGCTTGGGGACTGACAGACTGGGTTGGCGTCCCTTTAAGAACAAAGTTGTAATCTTATCTCAAAAAATTCCTTGCTGGCTGTGGTCTTAGGTATGTTGACATTATTTCTGAAGTGTTTGGTATGGGTCTAACTCCTGTCCTTACAAGCCTGGGTGATAAATATCTCCCCAGCTCTGGTAGTGGAAACAGCTCTGTAGCTTATCTTTCTGCTGATAAGCTACAGAAGCTTTTCATTTACTAGCCCCTTGTATGCCACAGCAAGCCTTTTATTAAATGCAAGCTTCAAATCTTAGATTTATCCACATGTTGTGTCAGCACAACTAGAGGCCTAGTCACATTAACTGTGTCTTGTGAGATATGACTAACCAAGTTTCTATTCCATGGAAAAAATCAGTCTGGCTTTAAGATACACAAATATGAATTTTGACCTACCATTTCTCTTCTCTCATTGACATCTAGTTCTGCTTTAGTGCATTCTGTACAAATTAATGGCAACATATAAATTACAGAGTACAAATTAAAAATCAAGAGTGTTCTCAATTTTGTTGTTTCAAGTTTATTGTGTATGAACAATTGGGAACTTTCCACCATGCCCACATAAAAGAGAACTCAAGAGTTGGAACTATTCTATAATTCATCATCTAGTTAGTGCCCTGTATTGAGAGGAATAATTGAGACTAAATTACTTTGAATGCATGGTTATGAAGGAATGTTGCATCATTTAGTTTAGAAAATTTGTACTTGCGAAGAATGATTGATATGTTATGCACATCCTATTTTTAGAAGTGACTGTAGTGAAATGATTTGAGAATTTTTCTTGTATCTTTCCAGGCATAACAAGTACAACAATAATACTATTATCTTGTCAAATCTTTCCAAGTTGAAGTAGGTACTATATGCAATGATTCTTGGCTTAAGAAACAGAAAATTAGAGTGTTTCAGAAAACCAAGACTCATATTTGGTTAAGTGGCAGATAAGCAAGACTTAATCTCAAATCTGACTCCACTGCACATAAAGTTAATCTCATTCCTACCTCTGTGTTCACTCCATCTATTTCTTTAGCCTCTATATTAATTGAGAAAAGGAGCTTCGGGCATCCCTGGTGGCGCAGGGGTTAAAAACAATGCTATCAAAGCAGGAGTATAATGGACCAGGCGAGAAAATAACAAAAATAATGAACAGCTATATACCAGAGACATTTTGTGGGGGTGGAATGGGGAATGGGATCAAAAACGGGGGTGGGGGATGCATGGGATTATGGTGATGGCACACGGGTGACTTGGTGATGGGAAACCCATGGGGATTACAATTGAGATGGAAAAAAAATGTACAAAATGATGTAAAAATAAAAAAAATATTTTTAAATAAAAAACAAAAACAAAAACAAAAACAAAACAATCCTATCAAGCTATCCCCAGCCCCTACAGGATGACTGATCCCAGGGAGGTGCCCATATGGCCCAGCAGACCTCTGCTGCCTCACCCACTGCTCCCCTCAGCAGTGTGTTTTACTCAATCCGCCTGTTCTGCTCCCTACTCTGTCTCCAGTAATCCTCTCATCCTCTGCACCTCTGGCCTGTCCCCCAATTCTTGTATGCATAAGTAAATAAATCTTTATTAAAATTTACAAAATGAGGATTTACATTTATATATGATTTATATGTTATAAAATTTCAGAGAAGACAATGAAGGTTTAAACATGGGAAATTCACTGACAAGGTTATTCATTAGGTGGGACCAGTTATTCACTAGGGGGACCAGAATCCCAACATCTCCAGATTCACAGGCTCCAGGGCTCTGAGTCAAGGCCCTCTCTTCAGTTAAGCCACAGGAACTGCCCCAGGTAGTTTGGGCAGACAAATCACTGAAAGGACACATATGTCACTGCAGATAAAAATTCCTTGGATAATTTAGTATGCATTACTTGCTTATAGATAAGAAAAAATTATATTGTAAGATTGATTTTTAGTATGACATATTAAATACAGAAAAAATATAGGAAAAAAATCCATGGACTCACTACCTAGATATAATAAAGGTAAATATTGTTACCCTATTTGTTTCAATTTTTTAAAAAAAGAAACAAAGATTCTAAATGTAGTTGAAGTCATCTTATTTTTCATCCATTTGCAAGGCCATTTCTCACCATCCCAAGAGTTAAATTCTTGTGAAGTTAGTATGCATTTTCCCATCCCATGCATTTAGTTTGTAGATAAAAATAGTATTACTATGTATTTTATGTCTCTTATATAGTTATCAAAATATAGGCATTATTTTTCAACTTACTCACTTATTCAAAGTTATTTGAGATTTGTTCATTTAATACATAAATCTACTTAATTCTTTTTTATATAATTTTAAAAATATTTTATTTTTTCTTAACATACATAGAGGAACTGGGGTAGAGGCCCAGGTGTAGAGAGTGAGAGGGCTCACCAGAGGCAAAATAGGGAGCAGAGCAGGCGGGACTACTAAAATACACTGCTGAGGAGAACAGCGGGTGAGGCAGGAGAGGTCTGCTGTGCCTTGTGGGTCAGCTCCCTGGCCAGGGATCAAACTGATAATAGCTTCATAGTGCCGAGACGTAACCCTCTGTGTCACCAGGGAGACCCTCATTTGTTTTAATTCTTGAGTGAAGTTTATAATATATTTCCTTAATGACATTTAGGTTGTTGCACACACACACACGCATGTGCACACACAGAATGATAAGCAACTCTGTACAGGTCTCTGCATGCATGTGAGAATCCTCTAGGAGACTGCTCCTGAACTACTTTTGGTAAAGGACATTCTTTTCTCAACTCCAGTCTCTTTTGAACCAATACTGTTAAAAAATACAGTCACACTTTTGGATGCCATGGAAATATTACATCGCTACAAAAGCTTTAAGTGCTTATGCTCATTTTCTGTACTTTGCTTACTGTGGAATGGAAACTAATTCACACGTCTTTGGTGCAGGTCACACCATGGGTAGCACTGCGCTCATCTCTAAAAGCCATGTGCATGTAACACGCACATCTCAGGGTGGAACATCTGGGTTGCAGGAAATACACATCACCAACTGCACAGGGTCTCACTCCTGCCAGGCATGTGCAAAAGTTCTCATCTTCTTGACCTCTTTTTGAAGTTTATATAATGTTCCTTTAGAAAAAGTAAATGTGTCTTCTTTAAAGAAAAATATGTATTCCAAGGAAATAAGCTGAATTGAAAACAAAATGCATAGAGAAGATGGAATGAAAAGATAAAAGCCAGTGACTCCAGATCAGTAGGCACACACCCTATAGTAGGTACCGGAGGCACAGACTGGAAAAACAGGGAACTTGGTGGGACAATCCTTGAAGTTAATGTTCCAACTTCATAAACCAAGTGGCACAAACTTACTGATGGCTCATGGGAATAGACAAAAACATACAAATCAAATCAAGGGAATCTAAATAAATAAGCCAACAGGAAACCAACTCTTATTCATTACCAGATTTTCATTTTATTCTTCATCCCCACTTCCTTCCGTTCCCAA